CCCTGCTTCATTCCTTTACATAGCTAACATCATCATGGACACCTTTGAGCAGCATGTTGTGTTTAGATATATCAAATACTGTGAGTCCAAAACTTTGGGTTGCAAGCCCAGGTTTGCAAATGGAAGACAGTTTGTCAACTAGGAATTGGAAGTAGGATTGTGAGCAAAAAAGATTGGGGACTTCTAACTTCACATGAATATTTTATATAAACCTTAAAGAAAAAAAATGGCATAAGGAACCAGATGGCAAAACCAAAACAAATCAATAAATACATCCTAAAGGATAGTACACTTTTATTTATGAAAATATTAAACCATGTTTATATGATAGAATAATCAAACTGAAAGAAAACCTTATTACTTGCAAATTTGTATATGTGATGTATCTGCAGGGAGACAAAACCGTTCTTGAGTGACTAGATATGTTTCTTCTGCTTTCCTCCATTTCTTTTAAGCCTTAATTAGAGCCAGATGTTTCTTATTTCCTTTCTTTTTTGTTTTCAAGCCTGAATAAAGTGCGGTGCCAGCAGTAAACACCATCTTTGACATTTTTTTATGTGTCAACTGCATCTGGCTGAGTTGGAGTCACAAACCGGTAAAATTCCAGCAAAGCAGTGCAAGCTTTCACTCCTGCTGTCATTCCCATTGGGAGCAGGAAATCAGCATTACTGCTTCTGGGGCTGCCTGCACAGGAGCCATATAAATGCCGGAGTGTGTCTGAAAACCTTGTCCCTGGTAAATAAAACTGGAGGCAGACTGGAATGCCGTATACCATGAACGCAGCTTCCCCTCCCATAGTCTTAGAGTGCTGGGAGTGATATCTAATTGCTTAATTCCTATTTGGTTGTATAGATCTGCAGTCTATTTTCTATTTCTTCTTTCTCCTCCTTGGGGAGGCAATGACTGGTAACCACAGTATGTAGACATAACCGTTTCTGCTCCAATTTCACACAAGCTTCATGTGACTTTGACCTCTTAGGTACCATCCCCTGCAGAATATTTTGTCATTGAATGGCAGTGGTCTATATGTGAGAGCTTTCTTTCTGAGTCAAATTGCAGAATATGCTCTAGTATTTATAACTATGTTTTTCAACTACTTTTTAAATGCATTTCCATTCTAAGAAGTGTATCAAATACAGAAATCCATGAACTACAACAATTACACAGCAAGGTGTTAGAAATTACTGTTCTGAAAAAGTCATCTGAGGACTAGTTATGCCTTATTTGACAAATATTAGGCTTTTTACTCCCACATATTTTGAGCAAGCACATATTTTGCCTAGAATAGATTTTAAAGGCAAGTGCCCGGCAGTTTTCCAGTTGTCTTTCTCCCTTTTAACAGATGCGCTGTTGTTGCGCAGTCCCTGGGAGTCAGGCTTGCTTCCACTACTGCACATGCTAAAGGGCTTTTTGGATAAAAAACTATGCTGTTTTCTTCCACTGACTTCTGTACCAGTAACTCCTACCCCAACTCTGTAGTTCAGAGGAAGTCAACCATGTGGGAGGAGGGCATAAGGTACCAGATACACCGAAGTTTTCTAGTGCCTCAGTTTTAAGGATGAATGAACCTGTAGGATTGAAATTCCTTGCTGCCAGATTTACTCTTAGTGCAAGCTAGGTTTAGATACAAGAAAAAAAAGTATTTATTTACAGAATATAGAACAAATATCACAGTTACTAAGCTTTACAGAGATGCAGATAACATAAAAGAGAGAAAGCCACATTTAACCCATTTATCCTCATGATAAAACTTTAATGGGTTCCTTCCCTCCAGTCAGGCAAACTCCTCACCTTACCCATGTGTGTGTCTCTATCGGTGGTGCCAAAGGAGTAGACGTCTACAGAACAACCGTTTCACGCAACAGGCATTTTGGGACTCTAGTTTTCTCCCAGGGATGCAGATGCCCATTAGTGCTTGGAGCACACGAGACGCAATGCTGGAGAGCACCATTGGTCTTCATTTCCTGTGAAGGGATTCCAGCTCCCACGCTCTGACTCCTCTCCGTGGTGCAAACCTTGGCACTTAAGTTAGGGCAAGCGGGTGAGGTTCAAAGCACTCTCTTGATCCAGACTAAAATGCTAGTGTAGGTGTCCCTGGTAGTGTGGTCAGGGACCCGGGAACTGCAGGAGCAGCCTTGCCTATAAGCTGCCAGCTCAGAGACCCTCTTTTTCCTCCAGGACATCTTGTTCCATTGTCCAGGGGGTGGTTTCAGCCTCCTTCCCTTTGGGCTACTGACTCCTTTGCAGCCTGTTGACAACATTGAGTGAGCTCTCTTGGGCCTAGTCAACGCCGTCCCAAGACCAGGCTCCCCATACCGTGCATGAGTGCCTCACCCCGACACCAAATGCAACTGTGAGGTCCCGAGTCATCCCCACGGGTGGAAACACCTTCTTATTGTGAGCCAAGCTGCTGCCACACACTGAAGCTGGTCTGTCTTACACAGAGCCAATGCCAAAATGTACGCTTTACACAATTGCCCAAATGGGATGGGGCATGCAGCCTGTGACCGGCTTCTCCTTGAGGTCGACCATGAGAGTAAGCAGTCATGCTGGTGATGTGGTTAGAGATAGCTGACCACAGCCCCAACCCCAGGGGATACAGTGACATTGGTATATCTGATTTTCTAATGCAAACTGGTTGATTCCCCAGCTGGTGTATTTAAAGCTATTTCTAGATTTTTAAAGTTTCTGACCGGTAGTTTTCAGAAGTCTTATGCGACTCTTTCAGATTTGTGAGCAACCAGATGAAATGGGAAATCAGGAAGTGCTGACTTTCTCTCCCTTACCTGGTCCTGGAGAAATGTAGAAGTTTTCTTATGTACAGGTAAGTGTATCCCACCCAAAGTTCTCCATAGTTGACAAAAAAACACTATCAAATATGTAGCAAAGAGGTATCAAATCCATGGAATGATGAAAGCAAGCCATGGGACTGTAATCTGTAATGAATAATCAATTTGTCCCCAAAATGCAGTCTGAGAGCGGCCAAAATTATCTGCTACTTTTTGTCAGATATGGTCCCTAGTTTTAATTTTAGAAAGTGGTGAAAAATATGAAAAGGACAAAATCTGTAATTGCCAACATTTCTTCAAGTATCTCAGTGTCCTGGTTTCGGCAGGGATAGAGTTGGTTTCCTTCCTAGTGGCTGGTACAGTGCTGTGTTTTGGATTTGGGATGGGAACAGAATTGATGGGGCACCGATGTTTTAGTTGTTGCTGGGTGGTGCTTACACTAGTCAAGGACTTTTCAGTTTCTCGTGCTCTGCCGACTGAGAAGGCTGGAGGGGCACAAGAAGCTGGGAGGGGGCACAGCCAGGACAGCTGACCCAAACTGGCCAATGGGACATTCCATACCATGGGACGTCATGCTCAGTATATAAAGCTGGGGGAAGAAGAAGGAAGGGGGGGACGTTTGGAGTGATGGCGTTTGTCTTCCCAAGTAACCGTTACGCGTGATGGAGCCCTGCTTTCCTGGAGATGGCTGAACACCTGCCTGCCCATGGGAAGCAGTGAATGAATTCCTTGTTTTGCTTTGCTTGCGTGCGCGGCTTTTGCTTTACCTATTAAACTGTCTTTATCTCAACACACGAGTTTTCTCACTTTTACCCTTCCAATTCTCTCCCCCATCCCACTGCGGGGGGAGTGAGCGAGTGGCTGCGTGGTGCTCAGTTGCCAACTGAGGTTAAACCATGACACTCAGTTTTTTCTTTCAGAATGCATTTTCATCTTAGAGCAGAAAAAGGTGGTTGTTTTTTTTTCTTTAATGGAAAAAGGGAGAAAAGTCAAATAAAATCCTAAATATTTTTATTATTAAGCTTGCCAAAACAGAAAGATCCCATTCATGGAGTTCTGTTTACTTGGCTTGCTGGCTGCCCCATCATGTATGACACAGGAGACAAGATCCAAATCTGGGACCTCTTTTTTCCATAGCATTTGACTTTTGAGGATCTGTGAAGCTCTACTGCCCAGACCTCAAAAAGAGTTGTTTTCACCTGTGTTGTAAATGACAATTAAATAGTAGAATCGAGGGAATTTGACAAGGCAGCACTGACCTTTCCTGAATTCGAGTGCAACTTGTTCAAATGTCTGGGTGGGCTATGAGAGTAAGATGTCTATCCCACCCCATCCTGCCCCATAAATGGTTATATTTTTTCCCCTGAAAACATGACAGACATCTTACATGAATAAATCAATTTTATTTAAATAAAATTACAGGCATATCTTGTCTATTATAAGCTACCGTATAGTTTTTCAAAGGCACCGATATTTAACAATAATTTAAATTTTCTTGAGAGCAGCTACCTTTTTCTGAGTGGCGTTTGTAAACTTGTAAGACTTCCTTCCACTCATTCAACTCAAGCAAAATCTGTTGCTAGTGAAATGCCAAAAGTTGTACCTTTTTCATCATAATAGGTACCTTACTGTTCCTGGGCATCTCTTCTGAACAATGCTTGAGAAGAACAGGTCAGGTGTTCTGCGTAGCAAAACCCACGCTGAAACGGGGTGTTTCTTTCCTTTGTGGCACCAAAAATACATCAGGCACAAAGCCCCGCTATGACACTCACTCTGCATGTACTGTAAGTATTAAAAACTAAATCCAGGAGACTACTCTTTCTTTGAGGTTTCAGGATCTGTTTTCCCTTGTATTTCTTCAAGCTTAATAATGCAATGCCACCTTCTCTTACACGAAGAGAGAGTTTTTGTAAGAAGCCTGCCCTACAGTTCTGTGTCACAGACTGCATTAGCCTCCAGGTTGGGCTTCTTTAAAGGCATCTTTGCTAAGCATGGTGGCACCAAAAACAGCAGATGCGTCTGATGGGCTTATTCATCCAGTTCTCTGATCGTTTACAGGAGATTCACAGCAGGGAGACAGAGGGAGATGCAGGTGACACCTCTCAGCAGGCTGAGACCTGACACCTCTTTGGTCCTCCTACCAAGCCTGGTAGTGTCTCTGCGGGAGTGAACACACTACACACTCTTCAAGGAAACAGTGAATGGGTTTGCAGTGAGTGGTTCTTTCCATTTAACATAAAGCCACAAGCAGAGACACGAAGGTGTTATACAAGACAGCCGCAAGACTCTGATTTTTTTGTCTTGTTCTACTGTTTTCCAGGTCTGCAGAGTTACTTATGCACAGTTACTTGCAGGGCAACAAACATGCTTATTTGGACACCCTAATTATGGAAACTTAACAGTCCATTCAGCAGCAGCTGGAAAACATTTTGCTTAGCTTTTAATGAGGCAAACACACAGACTTCATCATGCCACCTCATCCAGTCCAAGTGTGTCTAACATTAGTCTGATTTTCTTTGAAGTGTGTGATAAGCAAGGTACCAGTTGACACCACAAATGGATACCAAGCTTACCCTCCGCAAATAAAGATGTAACTGTGTAGATGTAGACAGTACTCGGGTGGTGATATTTGCATAGCAAGTTGTAGAAAAGAATGAATAAGATGGCAAACAAATCTAGAAATGAGGTATCAATTAGCCTAATGGTAGAGCAGGTAAACTAGTCAAGCCACATTCATACTAAATTTCATCTTCTGACTCCTGATCTCGTTCAGATGTTTTCAATAACCCCATTTCCATGGACTGAGACTGTTTAACCTTTGAACGAACTGCCCTGGAAACAACAAAAAAAAGAGTTGTTAATAGTAACTCAAAGGCTCATCTGGCCATTTTTACATGGTAAAAAACTGTTTTAACTTCACATCTCATTGGGGAATTAGGGTGATTGATTTATGAAGACTTGAAATGGGCCACTGTGGAAGACATTGTAAAGAGGAGATAGTGATTTCAAGCAGAATCTGGGCAGAATTTAACCCCAGGCCTTAATTGTAGATACCTGTATTTTAGCACGAGTGACCGCTATACAATGCGAGCATGTACCGTGACATTAGTATGTGCTACCTTTAACAATACCACCTGTATGTACTGCTTGTAAGAGCTTGTTCCTATGGACACGTCTAAGAGTGTACACCTTAAGCAAACCTCAGTGTAACATCTAGAAAGTTCAGTGTTGTGCAGGTACAAGACCGATAGCCGAGTTCGCTTGGAAGAGCACTATAAAGCTGTGAAGAAGAGTGAGTCTGGCCAACCTCCCCACGGACGGGAATTCTGCTCAGTGTGCCATGATCAACCTGGGGGGGCTTGTCTGATGCTGCAGCAGCTGTCGTTCCCAGCATCAGAAGGGATGTAAGATTGCTGTCACCTTCTCTATAGTTGCCATCCTTTACACAACAAACCAGTTACGCAGCCTTGAGTGTCAGTGCCTTTTGGACTGAGATCCAAAAAGACATGGCACCTCTTCGGTGCAGAGCAAGACTGCAAGAACTACATATGGCCAAAGCATGATTAAATAGGGCTATTAGGATGGTAGGGGTAAAGCGAAGGGTGAGAAGCACGTTTAGGACAGTGCAGGCAAATGCTTGGTAAGGTCCTGCGGGCAGAAGGTGATCACACATGGCAGAATCAGGCTCATTTTTACAACCAAGTTAACTCTGCAGTTGGAATTTTGTCAGGATTAGCACTGGGCGGTGAAGAAAAGGGCTAATTTTAGAAATTATGGGATGAAACTGGCTAGTGAAAAAGAAATCAGGTCTAATCACAGGAAATTGCTAGCAATGAAACCTGTCCAATAATCTTCAAAGTTAAGTCATGAAGCCTGCTGACTAAGCCAGTTGGAATCAGTAGAGATGAGCACTGGGAGAGAAGATGTTGTAGGAAAAAAGGTCTCTCCTCCTTATAACTTTTCATGCGCTTACAAATGTGGAAGACTACCAAAAAGAGCTCATTTTATGTGAGAAGCATTATGCTGTCAGAGCTGTACTTTATGAATGTTTTTCCCCTTTCTACTGAAGCAATGAGTCATGTTGTCTTCATTGATTAGCAATATCTATTTTTATTTTACCTTGCAAGACAATTAATTGCTTTGTGGAAATATTTTGATTTGTCAGTGAAACTTTTCTAAAAGAAAGCTCCTGCTAGACTAAATAGACAGGTCTCCAAAGTTTTAGCGTTTCAAGTAACTTACCAGCTGACGATTGTGTAATTCACTGCAAGTATAAGAAAAGCAAAGGCGTAATGCCAGCAATAGCACATGGTCAGGAACATCATATTGGTATGATCCGTCTGATTCCACTCTGGGCTCCCATTTGGAGGATAAAGTACAAAACCAATCTATAATAAAATAAAAGATATTTAGCAAACATCATTTGACGTATATCCTATGCCGTAGCATGTATTATGCTACCCATCACAAGGCAGACATTTCATTTTTTTACAGTGCTGATTATTTCTGTGATTGTTATTAAAAACAATTTTGCAGTCACACTCAGATGCGATGGATCATTTTACACAGTTTTGTGAAGAAATGCTTTTGAAGATGCAGAGCCAGTCCCAGAGACCCCCCTGCTCTTGCCCAGCGAATTAAGGAGCCGGCCCAACAAGTCCTGCAGCGATCACAATTACGTACTGTACTGTAAGGAAAGGGGCTGGTGCTCAGCCATGTGAGGTCTGAACGGCAAGCACATCACCAACCAGCAAACCTGCCCAGCCATTTGCACTGACTCGCTTCTTCCCAACAGCATCTGGGAATGTGTTACATGGTTGAGAAGATGAATAATAAATTAATAAATAAGGGGGAGCCATAAGTCTATTTCTTCTGGGTCATCTGGGGAAAAGGTCAGGTTTTGAAATTGGGTAAAAACGGAGCTTTCTCACCGAAGGCTATAAGTTCGTGTGAAATACATAGCTGATTTGTTTATTCAGAGCTGGGAAAGATCAAATTCAGATTAATGCATAAGCTGGGAAACTAGTAATCCCATGGCTACACAGGGGTCTGCCTTGACAAGCACCAGTCCTCTGTACTGCCTAGTACTCTTCAAAGTCACCGCTTAGCAGTTTAGCTGAGAATTTAGGAGCTGGGAAGAGGAGGAGAGGAAGGAGGAGGGGAGGAGTGCATTTTGCATCTCCATGCAGAGAATTCAATGAATGAGGGTGTTGATGATGCAGAAAGAACGTCCCTTTACCTTTTACAAATTTGTCATGCTGCAGCCAGTATGTGGTTTTCAGCCACACATACGGTTGAAGTCTGACGCAGGTGTGAAAAAAGCCATACTTAAATCTCTTGCATTTTTAGTTCTTCAATTTTTTACTTTGAAACAAAAAACACATTGTCTCCAGAGCTAAAGAAATAATTTGTTCTAAAATTAGACTAAGCAGACAACAAAGAATAAATGGTTGCATCCAATTCCTCTTATGCAAAGCTTCTTAAATCACCGAAGAAAAGTTTATAAACAAGAAAATAAAACACCAAGTGCTGCAGCGCTAGGTTCTTGAATTCACTTATAGAAAAAACCTGCCGTTTTGGAGGTCTGTCTTCTTGCCAGAGCAAGTATTTAAATATTTGATTTGGTGCTGAGTGTCCAGTTCTCCTAAGGAACAGCAAATGTTTTTATTAATCGTGTCTGGCCAGCATATAAAAAAGGGAAGCCGGTCTAGACATGCCGGAAAGAAAAATGACTGGAGTGACCTCAGTTCTCCACTATAAGATGAAACACACATCGGCACTAGCGCTCCTACTTCTTTGTTACAAGATTGCAGCAATTCATTAAATTCTCTCTCTCGTTTGACAGCAGAGAAAGGGTCGCTATCTATCTATTAATTGGATAGAATCACAAGTAAATGAAGGCATGGCAGCTACATTTTGAAGAGTCCTTTTGGGAGCCACATCCCTGAAATATAAAAGTTTGGGCTGTTACTTCTTCTGCTCGATTTCCCGAACACTGGACAAGGAGGAGGCTTTACATCACTCAATCTCTTAATGCGAATCAGGAGCTCAAATACCTTTTAAACCTAGGTTGCCACTGTTGAAACGCTTTTTAGAAAGTAGAAAGAGGCAGCCAACATGAAAGATAATTTGCGCCTTCGTTCCTCTTCACACAGTGTCAACGGGTGCTTTGCCTCACCTGTCCAGTACGCCGCTGGGCATTTCCTCGCTGCTCCGGCAGCTGACAGTGGGGACTGTCTTCGTAAAGAACAGTGTATATTGCCGGGCTGTAAAATCACTACCATTTAGCTGGCGAATTTTGAACAGGATGTTACAGAGATCAGAGGGGATGTTCAATCACAAGGGAGAGCTCAACAAAACCACCTTAGCGTTTTTATTGATTCAAATAAAAGACACTAGAGTTAAAATGGCTGCTTCGTCTGCAGAACAGGTATGATAAATACTTTTATCTCTTTAAAGGGACATTAAGAGTGCACTGTTTTCTATGAGTCCTTTGAGGACTGTGTTTAAAAGACATATTATATCAGCTGTGAAACATCTGCAAAGGGGTAAATGACTGATTTTGGTGAAGGAAGAAATTCCTAAGGCAGAAAAGTGACCTACCTGCCAGAACCAACTGCCTTGTAATATGCAGAGGCTTGTACGGAGCATCTCTAGCACAATACTGCCACGGAAGAAAACTTCCAGAAATATGCAAACAGCAGCTCCAAAGATAGCAAATAGCAATAACTGATGCACATGAACATCCAGCATGGCTCTCCCATGAAGATGGTAGCAAAAGAGAAAACCTGGAATAAATTTAGTGATCAGTTTAAGATATTTTCTTCTCTTGTAATCTCCCTGCATCTGCTTTTAGAAAACAGTGAACCTTTAGTATTTCTCTTTATGCCAGTATCACCTTCTCAGTTGAACTGAGAGTAATTTTGTAAGACTGATGCCTACGTACTGTGTACTCCCACTCTTGAGCTCAGACCAGGAAATTGCATGGGAAGCTGTAGCTCTGTCACCTTTCGTTTAAAACACATTAACAAAAAGTCTCATTCATCTGTCTCTGCAGTGTAACAAGAGGGATGCTATGAGATATACTGTGCGTACAGAAAACATAAACTGAGTGTGTCTCCAGGGCAATTCCAACATGTGACTGCTGTGCAGGTAAAGGCACTCACACTGGCTTTAGCTAACAAGTTGCGTACCATGTCAGTACACACATTGAAGCACGTGCCCCAGCTACTGAGCTTACCCAAAACAGGCTTGTGCTGCTATTTTCATAACATTTCTGTTGCTATCTGAGCCAGTTAGGAAAGCGCAGATACACCTCTACAATGTGTGATCCTGCTCTGGGCTGCAGTGCAGACAAACCCTCAGCAGTTTAAAGAGGGCCAAGACTGATCTTTTTTGAGCGTTTCAGGGCGTTAAGCACCCAGCTCCTGCAGGCTCATTCTCTAAGGCTGATTTGAGATTCCCAAACCAAAGACTGATACCCCTCTGCAAGTTCCACACGCACCTCTGCAGGGAGAGGTAAACTGACCTTCAATAAATACTGCTAAGGAAAGCATCATCCTGTCCATGGCCACTGGCAATGCGTTGGTCCCATGAGCCACGATATCAACCAACCCTGAAATGCCATAGAAGAGGTACATGGTGGCATGTTGCCAGTTCATCAAGTGATCCCAGTGCTTTTCCTCATAATCATACAACTTCAGATGAGGTCCATCGGGAACAAACTGCTCGGCCACCATTCCTGCGCATGAAACAACAAGTATAACTATTTGTCCTGGTGCTTAAGGTACAGACTGATGATAAGTCTTTACACAAACAATAGAGACAACAATATATCCCCATGAACCATAACGCCAGTCAATTTGGGGTTTAGTCTAGCTGCCTGAGGATTGCTCTGGGTGATTGCTATGTTTTGCTCCCTTCTGCCCAGTTCAGCCATTGCCAACAAAGTTTTTAACATGTTGTCCATATTCAAGTGAAAATGCACAGAGGCCTCAAAGATATTAATTTTATACAAATTTTTCAAGAAAATAGGCGGTGGGAAGAGGAGAGATGGAATAAGTTGCTTTGCTGAGAGAAAGACCACAGAGTGAGCTCAAGCATATATTAAGCATCACATAATCCAGAGAGGAGAAAGCCAGAGGAAACCAGGCTTCAGCTCCACTCCTGGTGGGACTATTTACATCTTGCAGTTTCCAGCAGTGAAAATGGAGACAGCTATTCTGTGCTGCTTTTTTTTTTAAAAACAATTGCTATTGTAGTAGTCCTCTGACTGAATTTTTCAGCTGCCTTTCCCAGTGGTTCAAACATGAATATAACACATGCTAAAGTCCCCAAAAGAAAGATTTGCCATTTCAGTCCCCTGCAATATGCAGGATAGCAGAGTTCAGACTCTTAATTCAAAGGGGATTTTTCCTATAAAGCCATAAAAGGAAATCCCTTCACCATGCAGAGTTATTAAAGGTCCCATGAGAATGTATACCGAGTTAGTATTTGAATTGCTGCTCCACCGCCTCCCTTACCTTGGCCCCTCGGTGTCTTGCTAAATAGCTGCAGTACTCCAGCAAGGGGGAAGCTATTTTTAGATACTTTATATGATCAGAGAAGTTTGGGAAGGGTTTAAAATACGTTATGCTTTAAAACGTTAAAGTTAATTATGTTGTTTATAAAGTGTGGGCCAGCATCCTGCTGTATAAGTAGATATGCTGCAGAGCAAATGCAGTGGGTTTCCACCTTTATTTCAAGTTTCCCTAACACAGAAACAGCAGGTTTTACTCCTTCTGCTGCTTTTACTGTTTGTCGTTGCCAGACTTTCTTGTCCACGTTTTTGACTGGAATTGAAATTACCATACATTAAAGTAATAGTTTTTTGTTTCAGGGTGAAAATAAAAGCACTAGATGAGTGTTTTAGCTGCCCAACTACCTCTAGACACTGACTGGGAGATTTGTAGGGAAGATGTCCCCACTCACACCTCAAAATGAACGCTATAATTTAGGTTTTGATAATTTTTTAAGGCGTATCAAAGTGTATACTGTACACACAACATCAGTGCTGATGTATCATAACTGGTACAACTCCCAGAGGGGAAGGAAAAAAGCAAGAACAAGATTTTGGCACAGCCTGTACCTTGATTAGAATCCAGGCAACTCTGAGCATCTAAAGAAGGGTAGATAGATAGAATCTAAAAATCTAAAAATACTAAAAATTAAGATCCTTTTTCAACTTGAGAGCCACAGTGCTGAGCTCCCCAGGTCCCCTGTTATTTAGCTTGCTTACTCTATAAAGGTAAATTGCTAACATGCAGCAATGCTGTATGTTAACATACATACAGCTGCTGGAATGTAAACAAGAACTAGGCACTTCTAGTCGGCTGCACCGCTCACTAAACCATCCCCGTGGGTTTGTACCCAGGCCAGTCCACAGCAGAAGGAGAAACAGCCCCCCACCCCATTGCAACAGTCCTGCAGCAATAAGATCTCGAGTTCAGTCTTTCTTTGTGAATATTTTCACTTTTGAATTACATTAATGAAGAAGGATCTGCATTTACATATTTTATCAATAACTCAGTGGAGACTATTGACATCTGAGATAGCTGGATTCAAAATAGAAAAGCAACACCCCCACAGTCTGGTGCTCCCAGTCTGCATGAAAGAACCCCTTGCCTAAATACCTTCTCTCCCTCCCTGAAGTAGTGAACAGCATATGAACACTCAGATGGACCAGCTGTGAAGTAGTCAGGGGACCTTAAAGAAGCTCCAGAAGAGCACTATGGATGGGAACCATGTTAGTCGTAACTATGTAATTAATAGCAGTAGCCCCACTAGTTCTTAGATTCATGGTGTTTAAAGGACAAAATACCAAAACACGATGAGATATGTTTTATCAGAGAACAAAATTTAAAAAAAAAAAAGGTGTTAAAAGGCACAGCCTTTTTGTTGTCTGCACCAAGTCCACCTTACTTACCAATCAGGGCAAAGACAGCTTTGATGATCCCCTCAACAAACTCCAGGCGCTGAAATCCTGCTCTGGAACCAAGGTAGCAAGCGTTCTTGTTTTTTCGACAGGCGTACTTCAGTGGATACTTCACTGACCACCACAAGCCAAAAAGAAGGAAAAAGCTTCCAGGGAGGGCATGCCCTTTGAAATTGCCCATGGTTTTCTGCTAGGCAATACCTGAAGGTGAAACAAATGCAGATCGATTACGGGAATAGTAGGAGAATTCTGTGGGTTATAATTTTAAAGTATCTCCTTGCATAGATCAAAAGGGTGTCACTGAATTAAGTGCTCACACTTTATTTAAAAATAAATTTAAGTACTTATCTTCCCTGGCTGTTCAAAACACCCAGCCAGTTTCATAGCTTTGCAGAACAAGAGTAAGAGACCCAACTGCAAAGCAGCTGACCTGAAATGCAGACCTGGCAGTTGGCAAGTTAAGAGAAAAAAAGCCAGAGTACACTATGTCATGCTGTTGAAGTTGTACTAGTAAAAGAGAGAGCATAAATATTCACAATTTGGTTCTTAACCTTTAGAGAGGGTTTTATGTTTCTTTACTCCACAAACAGAAATCAAGACAATACCTGACTGAAGGAAAAATGAATTGTATACAGATCCGATGGGTAACTATTCACTAATAAATTGTATTTTGTATTTCAATCCGGATGTCTCATTATGATTTACAAACATGAAGTCATTCTCAATATTTGATAGGTGAATTATGCACCTACAACTAGATGCATATTATCAAGTACATCAAGCGCACTGAGTGATAAGGTTATTAGTTGGTCAGTGTTACACAGTCATTTAAAAGCAGTGCCACTAATAAAACCTAGTAATTCTGGTCATCATCCCAACTTCTAGGAGAGTTAACCAAGGTAGCAAGCGTTCTTGTTTTTTCGACAGGCGTACTTCAGTGGATACTTCACTGACCACCACAAGCCAAAAAGAAGGAAAAAGCTTCCAGGGACGGCATGCCCTTTGAAATTGCCCATGGTCTTCTGCTAGGCAATACCTGGGCAATATTCTTAGCTTCAATAGCTTCTTCATTAAAATGACAGTTCTAACATTAAATTGCAATTTTTCTTTAAGTTGTTATAAACTGAGTTGTTGTGCATCGTGACCCAAAGGCGTACTAAATCTTTGCACAGGCAACAATCGAATAACCACTTTAGAAGCATTGGCAATCTGTACTTTCTGTTATTATCATTGCTGACTTAAAAATCCGATCGCCACATACACTGGAGCCATCTGGTTATGAATAGAACATGGAGGCTCTGGTATATTTTTCTTTTCAGTAAGTATTTCCTATGGTCAGCTCTGCATAAGAAGTTTTAAACTGTGGCTTGTGGGCCATGGAGTACTTGCAGATGGTTCACGTAATGCTGTCTAGTCACGTAGCATGAGCCCTCTCCTATTTCTGGAGGCTAAACTCCACTGAAAGCATTAATTTTTTTTTTTTTTTTTTTTTTTTTTTTTTTTTTGAGAAGAGAAACTTTTCCACATGCACAGGTCCTGAAGCTGCCATAAGACTATTACCCAACTGCATGAGGAGAGGTGACCTATATAGCCACAGAGGAGAAGAAAAAAAAGATTGTTCATGTGTAGCATGAGGCAGGCTGTGATTTAAACAGGGATCTGAAGAGGGTCCTGCCCCTACTGCCTGTCCCCTCCTCTTCCAGAGCTGATTTCTCCCACCGTAAGGGCTGCAGAAGTGGAGGGGTAAGCTTTAAAAGCTTTCCCTGGATAAAACTCCCCTTAGCTAATATCTAGGGAAGTATTGCTGAAGTACAAGAAAAGGGAAACGTGATACTGGTTGCCCAAGCAAGCCCATTTCTGGATGTGTCCTCACAGGTATTGCCAGTGCTGGCATCTGCATATTGAAGCCTGGAAGGAAAGCATGCCGAGATGGCTGCACCAAGCCTGGGGAAGGCTTCCAGGGAAGCAGCGCCTGCCAACCGTGGGGCAGACAAAGGGGGAATGAGGGATGCGTTTACATATTCTTATGAAACGTAAAGGACTCCATCTGGGACTTCTGCTGTGTGGGGAAGGGCTCCTGCATGCCACTTGTCTCCTGTCAAGAAGAAAAGCAAGGGTGCCATGCCCAGAGCTGTTGTGGGGGCTTTGCCTCGCCTGGTGGCTGGTCGGCCGCTCAGATCAGAGCAGCAAAAGCTGTGAGGATGAGTGGCAGCCCCGGCTGGCAGCTCTCTGCACGGGCTCTCCAGCCACCAGGATGGTGATGACCACCTCCATCTCTGCTCACAAAATGCTGAATTAAGCTCTAAACCTCCCTGAGGCTGAGTACCTGTTAGTGGTGCCAAATTAGCCTGCTTGTGAGCTGGTCATCTCCGATCCTGGCCCAGGGTGGGCTGGGCAGGGCAGGAGGAGGAGGTGGCAGCCGAGGGTCCAAGGGTCAGGAGAGCCTTCCTCTGCCTCCTCTGCCTCCCCCACCACCCTTAAAGTCTCGCTGGGTTGATGCCTCTGTGTTTTATTTGCAGGTGGGGAAAGCACTGCTCACTCTTGAGCAGCCTACAGTGCAGTCGGGCTGTCAGTGGTGTGGCTGGGGGGCTCAGTCCCACAGGTTAGACCCAGCCCCCGTGGTCTCACAGAAGAGGTACCTCATTTCGGGACACCTTTAGTTCAAAGAGTCTGACCAGCTTGTGCATCACTGCCAGTACTCACTGCACCATTGTTTGCCTCAAAAAAGGGGCAGTACTAACAGTAGCTGAAGTTTTAGACAGTCGCCTAAGCTTTGCTTTAAACTTTGAAATCCTTACTTTGCTTTGAAAGCCTTAATTTCTGGTTCTTCTAAAACTTGCTGGCCTGAAAGGCATTGCTGTCTTTTCAGACACGTTGGGTTTTTTCCTTCTTTGAATGAAAGATAGAGGGGAGGAGTGGGGGGTGGCCTTTCCTTGCCATATGTCTGATCTTACTGAACACCACTCATTAGAAAGACTTTATTCATTAGATGTTTTATTATTCACCACAGGTACACAGCACTCCAAATGGAAAGATTTACCCTGTACCCCACATCAAAGCGAGATACTGGATTTAAAAGGTAAATTAAACCTATGAAAAGCCTCCCTCTAGGAGATTACAGCTGCAGTAAGAGTCAAATGAAGAACAGCGTGTTAATGTCATTTGTAGTGCACAGTATACAAAACTTAAAAAGTAATTCGCAATCTGTAAACTCACACCTGGATTATCTAGAGCTCTAATCACTGCACGATTTTTCTGCCATAAATCTGGATAAACCATCAAGATATACTCTGCTTAAAACTATTTTTGTCTTTCAAAACAAGGGAAAAGAAGAAAAGGAAAAGACTGATACAGCAGCTACTGCTGCATATCCAATATAAACAGAACAGAACCAGAAAAATTGATTTTTTTGCTATAAGCAATACAATCACATATTACTAGCTTTAGAGAGTGTAAACTTCAGTTTGAGTTCATCCAAAGATGTTGGGGATCATTTGTAGGATTTCTCTAGAAAAAGACACGTCAGATCTGCCAGTCAGCTGTTGTGGCAGACCTTTGGAACACTGAATCTCAACACACTCAGCTTCAGAAAGGAGTGATACGAATTATACTTTAAATCCTTAGTAAACTTGAAAACATCATGACAGAGCTCACCTTAAACTGATTAAACTTCCCAATTCATGAATTTTCTCTTATGAGGCCTGAAAGTTTGTTTCGGCAAGGCTAGAAGTCAACTGTCACCACCCACAGTTTTGATGTGACTGAGAAGTTTTGCCTGCAAGTAAACCAGGTGATATTGCATGGTTTGGGGGCTTAGTATGACACTGAGGACATGGCGAGGATAAGGGGAGACTCCCCTGCAGGAAGATCACTGCGGGGTCACGGGGTGGATCTGGGAGGTGTGAGGCAGGGGTGCAATGGGAGGTGAAAGGAGAGGAGGACAGGGTGGCAGGCTGCTGCCTTTCCGCACTGCGCTTCGGCATCCCCCTGTGCAGCCCGGGACAAAGCAGCTCCTGCCAGCTCTTCTGCACGGCTTGGGAGCCAGCCAGTTTTGGTATCTCAGGTGCTATCTATTGGATAAAGATGGCATCAGCGTGTTATGACAATACTTAATAAATTTGAGGGTTTATTTTTTACAGAGCCTTATCCCATAAGCTAGCAAACAAATCACTGGAGGACTGATGTTGCAAGATGTGCAAACCCCAGACCCTCTTTTATCCTCAGTGATTTCAGGGCCAGGGGTGCTGGCAGAGCCACAGCCACGTTCCCCACAGCAAACCTTCCTTGCTGCCCACCACCTTCCCTAGAGCGCATCATCTGCCAGAGATGTAAGCAGAGAAAATCCTGAGGCTGCCCCACACCCTCATGGGTGCCATGAGGTCTGGGTCCAGCCATGTGGGGTCTGCCCACGCTCCCTCCACTGCCCCCCAAGGCACCCAGTCACAATAGGTGCTCCATGTGTACCTGCAGCTGGTGACCTGCTTGCACAACCTCAACCCTGTCCAAATCCTGCTCCTAACCCCACCAGGCAAAGCCAGCAGTGCTGGTGCCTACTAGAGGCACGCAGACAGCTGGCATCACCCGGCCACAGCCCTCACCATGGATGGGTTTGGCTTTCCAGCGAGCGTACGTAGACTCCCTGACCATTGCTGATCAAATTGCCTGTTACCTGCTGTGTGCACCCCAGGATCCCCGCAGGCTCACCCAGCTTTTCATGTCTCCACCCTGAAGCATCACCACCCAGGACCCTTCCACCACCACCACCAGCCATGGGGCCGCAGCAGCCAGGGCACCAGCAAATTTTGGACTCTGGCAAAGCAAATTTTGGACTTTACCTGGGGGAAGCTCCCTCCCCGCTGACCAGCAGGGCTGCCACCCCGAGGAGCATGCCCAGCAACCAGACAAGGCACATACTCCAGCCCAGATTTAGGCATTCCACAGCAAGTACTCCTTGAAACCCTGCTCTCGGGAGGGTGTGGGGCACACCAGGAGGAGAGGCTGCTGTCAGGGTTCAAGGGCACCCATGGGCCTTAATTGCCCCAACCAAACTCACCCACCCTGGCACCCCTGGCACTCCTGCCCAGGGGCCCATGGTTGCAGGGGAACTGGAGAAAAAGGTAATTAGGTGTAATTAAGGCAATAAACTCAGTTGTTGAGGTAGCTTATAAATTTTAAGTACCAGGCAATGTTTCTGCAGCTGGTT